AGAGTCTAGCATAATTGAAAAAAGAAAACGCTATAACAAATAACCATAGTATTATCACATAAGGAGACTACTGACTTTGCTTCATAAGTAAATCTTACTTGTTTGCAATCTCGCTTATTAGTTGGCCTTATATTGACTGCAAAAAAATGATCTTCTGAGGAGAACTTGCTAGCTTCTTGCATAGCTCCATTTGTGAATGGCATGACAACAAAACCACATGGTTTAATGATGAACTCTGCACAATTTTGAAATATTTACATTACTATTTTTATTTTTTTCAACTTTAGCTTTCCCTTGGGAATAATGAGATATTAGTTTACCAAATTAGTCATTAGGCATCCATGTCTAAGATTTAGCCTAATGATACATCTTCTTGTAATATCTTTCTATTAATTAATGTTTCTTTCTAATAACATGTTAAATAAAAATGAAAATGCAATTGGAGAATGTATAGAAAATTTTTAGATTGTTCTTTACCTTTGCTTATATGTTTAACATCCGGGATTCTCACAGGGCCTCCACCTCCTTGAGCTGATTCAAAGAAAGAAAATAACAACCATTACTTTGCACAAACATTAGTTTTTTTCGAAAGTGTCAAAATGACATGGTCATAATAATTTTATTCCTCTTAAATGTAATTACATGAGGTACTGATATATAAATAGAAATTATATAAGTTATAACAACATTAAGATAATCACCATAATTGCCATAATTATATGATTTTTACAATTAAGTGGCATCCCATAATTTTCTCTTGAAATCTTGCAGAATCAATTCTCATCATAACTCACACCAACACTCCCCCTCAAGTTGGTACGTAGAGATGTAGCATACCCAACTTGCCAAGTGAGTTGCAAAAGTTCTTACTGCATACAGCTTTCGTGAGTATATTTGCCAATTGTTCTTCAGATTTAACAAAAGGAAATTGAATTATTTTGGTCTCTAAATTCTGTTTGATAAAGTGACAGTCCACTTCCACATGTTTGGTACGATCATGTTGTACAGGATTATGAGCAATTGCTATAGCAGCCTTGTTGTCACAAAACAATTTCATTGCACAACTTGGGGTGAAACCAATTTCAGTCAATAGTCTTCGAATCCAAAGAAGTTCACAGAGACCCTTAGCCATCCCACGAAACTCAGCTTCAACACTTGATAGTGACACAACCTTTTGTTTCTTACTCCTCCATGTGACCAAATTTCCTCCAACAAAGGTGAAATAGCCTGAGGTTGATCTTCTATTAGTAGTATCTCCAGCCCAATTAGCATCTGTATAACCTTCAACCCGTAGGTGATCATTTTTTGTGAACATTAAGCCCTTTCCAGGTGAGGACTTTAAGTACTGAAGGATTCGCATTACAGCCTTCATGTGATCTGTGCTTGGATTATGCATGAACTGGCTTGCTACACTTATAGCATAGGCTATCAGGTCGTGTATGAGATAAATAAATAAGTTTTCCAACAACCCTCTGGTATCTTCCTTTTTCTGATGGCACTTGGTCCAAATATTCCCCAAGTTGATGATTTTGAACAATTGGAGTATCTACCGGCTTGTAGTCTAGTAGTCCAACCTCTGATAAAAGATCTAGGATATATTTTCTTTGAGATAAAAAGATGCCTTGCTTTGATCTAGCAACCTCAATTCCAAAAAAATGTTTGAGTCCTCCTAGATTTTTCATCTCAAATTCAGTTCCCAATTGTCTTTGAAGTCTTGTTATCTCCTCCGAGTCATATCCTGTGATGATCATATCATCTACATAGACAATCAATGCAGTTATCTTCCCTTGACGATGCTTCAAGAATAATGTGTGGTCCGCATTACTTTGTTGAAAGCCATATTTTTTCATTGCTAGATTTAAACGCCCAAACCATTCTCTAGGAGATTGTTTCAGGCCATATAAAGTCCGTTGCAATTTGCATACCACCTTAGTACCAGACTTACCAGACTTCTCCATATACCCAGGGGGAATATCCATGTATATTTCTTCATTGAGATGTCCATGAAGGAAGACGTTCTTGACATCTAGTTGATGTAGCGGCCAATCAAAATTTGCTGCAAGAGATAACAAGTCTCTAATAGTGCTCAACTTGGCCACCAGGGAAAAAGTTTCTTGGTAATCTACCCCATATGTTTGGGTAAAACCCTTGGCCACAAGTCTTGCCTTATATCTTTCAATGGAACCATCAGCTTTGTAGTTGATAGAGAAGACCCACTTACACCCTACTATTTTTTTTCCTTGTGGTAAAGGAACAAGAGTCCATGTTGCATTCTTGTTTAATGCTTCCATTTCTTCATTCATAGCTTGAGTCCATTTTGAGCTTTCAAGAGCCTCTCCAATGTTGGTAGGAACACTTTGTGAGGAGAGTTCGTCAGCAAATCTCTTAAGGGGCTCAGATAATGCCTTGGTGGAAACATAATTAGCAATTTGATACTTTGATCTTTTGCTTTCTACTTCAGGAGAATATCGTTTCGGTGGTTTGCCCCGATTATGTCGATGAGGTAGCCTATAGCTAATAATTGTATCAACATTGTCAACATTGTTAGAAATATTAGAGGTGTATATAGTGTTTACCTCGGTGGTATTCTCAGGAGTTGAGTCATTGGGAGGTACTGGAGAATAGGGGGATTCTACTACTTCAACTTCTTGAGGACATTATGTTACTATAGCTGCTTCTATTGAACTTGTTTGAATTTGTGGAGCCTCATCAAACAATGTATCATCAACTACTGTATTAGTATCCTTGAACCAGTCAAATGTTAGCCATTTCAACTCTTCTTCTTGTATCTCTCCCGGAAGAGTAGAATTGGATGGCATGGGGAAGTAGAAGGTGTCAAGCTCAAGGAATGTAACATCCATGGTTACATACATGTGCTGAGTTGTAGGGTCATAACAACGATATCCCTTTTGATGTACACCATATCCCAAAAAAAGACAACGAATAGCACAAGGATCAAGTTTGGTTCGTTGGTTCTTATGTAGGTGAACGAACACAACACACCCAAAATCTCGTGGTGGGAGCATTTGTATGGTAGGTAATGGCACAAATGTAGACAAGGTTTGCAGCGGAGTCTTAAAGTCAAGAACTTTTGATGGCATCCGATTGATGAGATATACTGCAGTAGTGACAGCATCCACCCAATAGTGGCTAGGCACGTGTGCTCTTAGTAAAAGAGCCCGAGTCGTTTCAAGGATGTGACGGTTCTTACATTCTGCAATGCCATTCTGTTGAGGAGTTTGAGGGCATGTGGTCTAGTGGATAAGTCCATGTTTTTTAAAATAATTACGAAATTGTTGACTTACATACTCTCCACCATTATCAGAGTGAAGGATACACATCTTAGCTGAGTATTGAGTCTAGATCATTTGATGGAATACTTGAAATGTTTGAAACACTTCATTTTTCTGCGTCAATACAAAAACCCAAGTCATTCGAGTACAATCATCTACAAACATCACAAACCAACGAAATCCCAAGGAAGAAGATTTTGGGGATGGACCCCATACATCAGAATGGATCAAAGCAAAAGGAACATCACTCTTATTCATACTCAATGGAAAATGAGTTCGATGACTCTTAGCTAAAATACAAGTTTCACATTTAAGGTTCAACAATGAAGTATCTGAGAACAAACTAGGGAATACATGTTTCAAGTATTCAAATGAAGGGTGGCCAAGTCGACGATGCCAAAGAAGAATTTGTTCCCTTTTAATGTTACTCGGGTGATACATGTAATGTGCTTTGCCGACACTGAAATCTTCCATATAATAGAGTCCCCCCTCTTAGTACCATGCCCAATTATCTCCTTGATGAGAATATTCTGAAGAAGACAAAAAGAAGGATAAATTAGTACCATGCAGTTCAAATCTTTAGTGACTTGACTCACAAATAGTAACTTATGAGATAGAGATGGAACAAGTAATGTATTAGATAGTAAAAGTGTTGGTGATAACAGGACAGTTCCAGCCCCCTGTTACCGATGATAAACCACCATTGGCATTGGCAATACTTGTGCGTCGAGGATTTGAGCATTCACAGAAATTATTTGCATCAAATGTCATGTGATCAGTAGCCCCAGAATCGAGTATCCATGCATCATGGTCACCATCATGATTAGAACAGAGTAGAGTATTACCTTGGATATGGTTTGTACTTGTTGGAACAAGTGAATAGTGTGGTTCTGTAGTAGCCATGTCAGCTTTTCCTTGGTTGTTACTTGTGTCACCTGAACGTCGACGTTTTCGAGCCTGGAACTCAGACCACCAATCAGGATAGCCATGAATTTTGAAGCAAGTTTCACGGGTATGTTTGGCACCTCCGCAGTGCGAACACTTGGTGCCACTAGATGAACCTTTATTCATGGAATGGGTAGCCATCAAATTGGTTTGTAATTTGAGACCCTTAGATGCAAGAACAGCACCAGGTATCTCATTGGTGTTGTCCTTCATCACTGATTGTCGAAGGGCTTCCTTTCGAACATGCGCATAGGCTTGCTCCACCATTGGGAATGGCATCATCTACAAGACATCACTACGGATGTTATCCAAGTGATCGTCAAGTCCATCCAAGAATATGTATACTCGATCTTCTTGAACAAGGGTATTGTAGTGTTTGATATCAGTGGGGCATTCCATCGGATTTGGGCAATGAAAGTCAATTTCATGCCAAAGTCCTTGAAGGTCATTGTAGTATTTTTCAAGAGAACCACCAGCCTGCTTAAGACGAGTCACTTGACGTCAAAGATCATAAACTTGAGATTTGTCATTGCCATCAAAATATGTAGTCGCAATTGCGTCCCACACCATTTTCGCTGTGGGAAATCGAATAAAATTCCCAATAAGGGAGGAATCCAAGGAATTAATTAGCCATCCCTTAACAAGTGCGTTGTCAGTCCGCCAACGTCGAAAGGTAGGGTCAGTTTGAGGAGGTTGTGTTAAGTCACCATTGATATATCCCAGCTTGTCTTTGCTAGAGATATACATTTCGACCACCTGGGACTAGAGGGCATAATTACTGCCATCTAGTCTAATGCCAATCGGGGCAACAGGATGATCAGCATGGGATTGAGGTGGGGCTGAAACCTGGTTCAGAATTTCTGCCATTTTTGTAGCCAACTCCTCTAAGGTAGGAGTAGGAGATCCTGCATCAACCATGGAAATTCAAGAAAGCAGGATTTGGATCGTGTATGCTCTGATACCATGTCAAAATGACATGGTCGTAATAATTTTATTCCTCTTAAATGTAATTACATGAGGTACTGATATATACATAGAAATTATATCAGTTATACACAAATTAAGATAATCACCATAATTGCCATAATTATATGATTTTTACAATTAAGCGGCATCCAATAATTTTCTCTTGAGATCTTGCAGAATCAATTCTTATCATGACTCACACCAACAGAAAGTTGTTCTCTCATTTTTTCATACAAGTAAACGTAAAAGACATGGAATGATGGATTGAGGTTGAATGTGGTTTCTAACGCATTTCTTAACACCCATACATACGGCTCTCTTACAATTTCAAGTTTTTAGTGGGACAAATCTTAACCTCTAAACCATTGAATATGAGGTCATGAAAATTTGACCTAAAAAACTCAACCAATCCATGAAGAAAAAAAAAATCTAATCATGAAATAATTCTAATATTTCCTCGTCAGACGACTTAGAAAAATTAGTACCTCAAGACTGTTCACCTTTAATTGGACATCCTGAGGCAAAAAAGCTTCGTCCAAAAACTCCACTTAGGCCTGTACTAAATTTTTTATGTGGTTGAGGACATGATGTTTTTTTTTAGTTCAGTTTTCTGACTTGTAGACACCTCATCCAAAACTTCAACAAAGGGATTTCTAATGTGATAAAGGTTTTTCTTGCGTTGATTGGAACTCACATTTATGGCTTGATTCACAGCTTTTGAAAATGAAATAAAACCACACCACGTCTTTGCTACTGTAGAAATTTAACAAAATACACTATCAAGGATACACGTCATCCACAATATTAACGTGCATGATATGAGAAATCAATAATGACGCTAAGCCATGATATTAAAAATTATAGAAGATATTGAGCAAAGTGCAGCAAAAGTAGTAGGATCAATATCGTGATTGCTCTGAAGTGATTCCAAATCATTCTTTTTGAGGACAGCAGTGCAGTTCTGCATCTTGAGGTTGTTCTCATCCTCAGCTTGCTCACATGCAATGTTTATGAGTGAGCAGAGAAGCACAAGTGAGTGTAGTCACTAGTCAGTGAATCAATTAATCACAATAAAAGAAATCACATGCAAATATAATACGGATAATAATACTAGAATAAACCATAAATGATAAAACCACATAAAAAATGGGTCTAAATATGCCCAAATAACAAGATGTATTAGGTATTGCAATGGAAAGTTGGAAACATAAAGAAAGCCTAATGTAAGAATCCTCCTGAGTCCTGAGGCTGTTGAGTATCATCTGTTTGCAATCCATCTGGCTCAAGTGTAGCCTCTGAAACTGCCTGGGATGGTAAGGAAGTGGTTTCAAGATTGTGATCTGGCTAGGGAGGAGTCTGATGCTCAGGCTAGGTGGGAGGAAGAAGGCTGGAATGGGTAATCGTCCTAGAGGTCTTCTCCAACTCCATCCTCTGTTGCCACCTGTGTCTGCTCAAGCAGTATCAGACACTGCTCAAGGGAAGAGGGTGCTGATGGCCGACCAGGTTGCTCCTGCTGTGGCTGTTATTGTTGTTGTTGTTGCTGCTGTGGTTGATGTTGTTATTGTTGTTGTTGTTGCTCTTGTGGCTGTAACGCTGCTGGTGCTGGTACTGGTGGTACTCCCACTAGTTCATTTAGCTGGGAAGGTATCCATGTGGCAGTGATGGGGCCAGGAATTGTCAAAGTAGGCTCATCTTCTGCTTCTTCGCTAGAGGCTGTTCAGGAGTCATACCTGTGGAAAAAGAAAATTTACATATCCAATCAATCCTAATACAGTTCAAGCAATCTAAATCAGAATTCCTAACAAGCATAAGCACATATATACACACACACACATTCAATTCCAATGAGCTGACCTGAGTTCAGCTTCTAAACTTTAAACCAATACAGCAAGATTTTTCTCCGATCAACTCAGCTCGCCTCTCAGCCAAAAGGATACCAAGTCTAGATATCAATTATTATCCAGATATTGGTTTAAAGGCTTCATTTTTTAGACAAATGAACATCATTTCATCCATCAAATAAAAAGAGTTTTCAAATTATAGCACAGCCATTGCTTTTCTCATTTAGGTACACTCTCTCTTAATACATAATTCATTAAATGGAATCACAGGCACATCCACATCGTGTACAATGATTATCTGAAACAGCCAATAACCATATTTGTAGTTCTGACTAAAGCATTTACAGCTAATACTATTTTCAGTTAAAATCTCTATGAATCCATCTGGGTTCTGTCAATCTCTCAATCAAAACTGAGATTGCTCATTTTAGGTAGTACACAGTTCAGTTCAAACATTTCAATTTCCACAAATTTAAAATGAATTATTATGTCATTAGTATTAACATGAAGCATAGAATTTTAATTTAAGAACACAAGCACCTTGGCCTCCCTCTAAAACATTGAACCAACATTGTATGTCATGAAAATTTGACCTCAACTCAAGCAATCCATGAAAATAAATGGACAATTAAATCATGAAATACACACCATCTAATACTTCCTCTTCAGATGACATGGCAAAACTAGTGCCATGAGATTGATCAACTAATTCAACTTTAATTTCGGCATGTTGGAACAAATTGGAGCTTTTTCCAACAACTCCATTTGGGCCTGCGCTCTAGTTTTTAAGTGGTTGTGGGCATGGTATTGTTGATTTCAGTTCAGTCTTCTGACTTGGAGCCACCTCATCCAAAACATTAACAGAGTTATCCAAAACCTCAACAGAGTCATTGCTAACATAATCAAGGTTGTCATGTTCAATTTGAGTGCCGCAGAAGGGATAACTTACTTCAAGGGAACTCCGGTCAAATATGTGTACCTTCAAATGACATGTTTCTTGGTATTTAAACAACACATGTCCGTGACTTAGGGAGTAATATGTAGCAAATTCCTTCCAACCCTTTTGAAACCAAATATCAGCATCATGTTTAGTCCAATAAATTCCCCATTTAATGCCATCCGGAGGCTTGAGAAACACTGCGTTTGACAGATTACCTCCATATTCCCTAGTGAACCTGTTTGGAATCTTCTGCAAAGAATTCTCTATTAGCATGCATAAAGAAATTCACATGCAATTCAAGTTTGTCTCTCTTTTTCTAATTAGTGATATAAATGACTTAGAATCCTTTGGGATACAAGTTTACAAGTACTTAGGGTACCTCTTTACTAGAAATAGGTTTTTTTTTTTAGTTGAGAAGTTCTCAAAAAAAGTACTTTTAACTTTTATCCAAATATGATATAATATGTTAGGATAGAAATTTATAAGTGTTTACAGGAACTTCTTTATTAGAAATGACTATTTATTTTCTATAAAGAATTTTGATTTTATCATGCTATATTTCCTTGTCCATGAAGAAACTTTGTATGTATTTAGGGCTTAGGCCATGCAAGATGACCTGAAGTGCTTGTTACAAAATCATTAACACAAAACTATGTTGCTAAGGCCTTCCACTCAAGTATAATAAGATGAAGTATGCTTAAAAAATAAATAAATAAAAGACCACTCATTTATTTGTATGTATATAATATATAACTTGTGCATACCGATGTAAATCTTAATTAATTTAACTTTATTTGCCGATACAAATTTCAAAATATTCGTCATTTAAATGATAGTGTATTTCCAACGTTAATTCCTGCAACTTTTAATGTCAAGTTTCAATAGAAGATAATTTTAATATTTTTAAATAACACTAAATGATATTATTTCACCTTAAACATGTAGTGAAGAGTTTGATTTCTTATTAATATATATGAAAAATTATCTATTATAAAATGTCAATATCTTAAATAGATATTAGTATATTAGAAAATTAGTCATTAAGTTTTTATTAAAAAATATCTTGATTTATCCAAAAATGATATTGTTTCACTTCTAAACATAAGCATAAAAAAAATTATTTAACATTAATTAAGAAAGTTAATTTATACCATTTAATTTTTTCTAATCCTATATAGAAAATATCTTATTTTTTCTTAAAATTTGACATCAAGAATAAAAAAATAGCATTGAAAATATAATCTCTATTAAAGAAAAAAAAAGTATTTTGGGAACAATAACATTATAGAATGAACTTAATTAAGATTTATTTATATTTTATACCAACAGACATGATTTTTTTAACTTATATTCAGATACAGAGGGAATTTTAATTATTTTCTTCATAACATAATTTTTATTTAAATTTAAAATAAAAAATTATATATATATATATATATATATTAAATATCTTAGTATGAAAGACTATACAAAAATTTGAATTTTTTTTAAAAAAAAAAGGATATCAAAGAAAAAAATATACACATTTTTTCTAGGATAAATTATACTTATACCTCTTGTATTTTTTCAATAGTGTTTGATACTCTTATGTTATTTGAACTGATAGTAAGATCTCTTGCATGTTGAACAGATATTTTATCACCTTTCTTATAACTTCCTAACAATGTCAAGTTCATTAATAGATGTGTGTCATGTGACCCACACACATAACTTTTAATGATGCTTTTCTCTCAAAAATACCGCATCTTCTCCATTCAAACCATTAACCTTAGAAACATACAGTACCATACGTTTTTAGATTTTCAAAATAAAGAAATCTTGAAGCAGATGTGACATAGTAATAGGTCAATTTATCTCGAGTAGACAAGGTAGGTTAATTTACCAAAGAAAAAGAAATAAGATTGAGCAGATTGGCAAAAACAAAAAACAGGTTAAAAAATAGAATTCACTCTACTTAGTACTAGGTTGACAAATTGTCTTACTTTTATGAGTTGGTGGTTAAAATTGGTAAGTTGGCAGTTGACTCACCTTTAATCTACCCAAATTATTTTAAAATTTTTTTAATTAAAATATTTTGATATACATTATCAATTTAACCTATAATTTTATTATTATTTTTTACAATCAAGTCTCCTATTTTCCAATGCAAGAAATCCTAATAAATTTAATTACTTACTTTCTAATCGAGTTAGATTAATTTAATGTGAAATCTTAGAATATTAAAGTGAAATAAAAAAGATTAGCCTATATTATAAATATTATTTAACAACCTTTATTTTATTTTAAAAAATATATGATGTTACATCCATAAATAAATCACAAATGAGTTTTAGGCATGATCAGATGTCTATTCCCATTCCACTTTTTCTATTTTCTCCTTGTTCTCTTATCTTCTTTTCCTTCTCCCATTTTTCTTTTCGTTTCCTATTCCCTCTTTTTCTTTCTTATCTTATTTTGTATGTGGGTATCTGGTGAGCCTCCAACTTATTATGGGCTTGAGTTTTATCTGTGTTCTAATACTCATAAGGGTATTTATTATTAATAAAGCTTAATAACATTATTATTTAATTATAAGAATAGAATAGAACTACTCATAAGGTCTCTGTATTATCTATTTCTAGAGTCCATAACTGAAAATATTACAAAAGGAAAGTGATATGATTTTACAGGTTCTTTGATAGGAAAAATAGTTAAAACTGTTTTTTTTTCTTTTCTTGTTAAGTTGTGTAAAAACTGAAAAGAAATAATAAATATGTATTTTTGTTTATAGAAATTATTAAGGTCACATATTTAACTGATCTCACCACTAAGATAAATAATATAAATATCTCCGATAAACAAATAAGAATATAAATAGAGTCATTATTTTTATTTTGAAAACAATAAGGTTGGAACTTATATATTATTATTAGACAACAAGGTTCGAATCTTGTTATATAAAAATATTCTTATTTTAACATATATTTTATAATTTTTTTTATATAAAATATATTTTTTTTCCCTAAAACTAGTTATCTAAACATATTTAAATTTTTAAAAATTATTTTAATTAATACTTAAATTTATTCATTAACATTGATTATAATAATAAAAAATATTTATAAATTAAGTAAAAAAAAAATAAAACAAACAAATACATAAATTTTTATTTATAAAATTTTAATTAATTACGTGTGCGTATGCGTGTACGTGTGCGTGTAGGTCAAGTCAGGCTAGGGTAATGTTAATTAGGCCAATAAAACTAATTTTTAAAAATAAAAAAAATTAAAAATATAATTTACTCAATATTATTAAAATTTAAATTTAGAAAAAAAATATAGGAGAAAAATTGAATCGTTTTTCGTTGAAGGGGCAATTCATATGTAGTCATGTATGTTGATGTACATTCATACACAAGTCGTAAGTTTATAAACCTATAATAAAAAAAATTATTTTATAAAAATTATTTTAAATTTTAATAAATTTTTTATTTTATAAATTTATTTATTTATATTTTTAATAAT